CTCTCTCACACACACACACACACACACACACAGGATCTCTCTCTCTCTCTCTCTCTCTCTCTCTCTCTCTATCTATCTATCTATCTATCTACCTATCTCCCGCGCATGCGCGCATACCGTAACGGTACAGACCAGAACAAGAACCGACCTCTCTCACATAGTACAAGATAGCACAGCAGAAGGCTTAAATACCAATGATCCGAACAATCAATGTTGCCATGCAGACCAAACATACATCATCATCATTCCATCGTGTGAAGGGGCCTGGCGCTCACACAAGAAGAATGCGCTAGTCCCCAACTACAGACGAAGAAGAGGGGGGTTAGACGAAGAAGAGGGGAAGATGGGAATGTTGTCAACACCAAGTCTTCGGTACGGTCCCCAAATAATCCCTCCTCAAATGTCTGAATCACAATGTCGAGTCTGGATCCAAATGTCGCCAAGTCCCGAAGTCACCAATCTCCCTCTCGCGTAGTCTGCAGATACTGAGAAGTCAGGTAGCGAGAGGGTGAGGAAGAGATGGTGGACTTAGAAGAGGAGGTAGAAGAACTCTCTCTCTCTCTCTCTCTCTCTCTCTCTCTCTCTATGTGTGTCCTGCGATCGGCGGCCCGGGAAGTCGTCGCTCTTGGCCAGTGTATATGTGGCCAGCTTGGAGGCGTGGAAAACCGGGTGCACCGTGAGATGCGGGGGGATTTCGATCACAAAGGAGGGGCCATCAGGCTCATCGCCCGCGTCTGATGTGACGGGCCATGGTCCAAACCACTTTGGAAGTAGCTTGCGGGACACATCTTGTTCAAGCGCAAACTCCTCCGTGGAGACCCAAACAAGGTCGCCAGCGCGGATAGGGCATGGCACGAGACGCCTGTTAGCTTGCTGTTGCATGCGGACTTGAGCCTTTTGCATGTTGGTGCAGGCTTTAGCCAGCAAGTCTCTATACTTCCGAACGGAGGCGGGAGAACAAGCGGCACCAATGTCGTCAGTCCTTGGAAATGGAAGATCAGCGAAGATACGGCCTTTCCTGCCACCGTGGTGCAACTCGAATGGAGTCACGCTGATCGCCGAGTGCAACGAAGTGTTCTAGGCGAATTCGATGTCGGGGAGGCAGTCCACCCGATCCTTCTGATCCGTACGGATGAGTGTGCGAACCATTACTTGAGCGGTTTGATGTGCCTGTTCCATCTGCCCGTCCGTTTGCGGATGCCGAGCCGAACTTGGTTTCATCTCGGTGTCGGACTCTTTGAAACGAGTGTTGCGGTCGCTGACGATGTCTTTCGGAACGCCGTGGCCGTAAATCATGCCGGTGTGTAAGAGCCGTGCAAGTTCAGGAGCTGAGGCATAGTACTTGCAAGGAAGAAATCGTGCATACTTGCTCAATCAGTCAACGACCGTGAGAATAAGAAGCGGTCACGGGGGAACGGGCCGGTGACGTCCATACCAATGGAGAGGGCGGGTTCCCGTGGAATAGTCAATGGGCGTAACTCGCCGTAGGGGTTGCGATTGCGAGGTTTGCTTCGTCGGCAAACTTCGCAAGAGTCGCAATACCGAGTGACGTCGGTAATGAGGTCGGCCAACCGGAATCGTTGCCAAAGTCTTGAGATTGTACGGTTGACTCCGAAGCAGCCGACGAGTCTCGAGTCGTGGTACTCGCCGAGGAGAGTCCGTAAGCGACGGTCGTGGCGAGTCTCGAGTCGTGGTACTCGCCGAGGAGGCGAGTCCGTAAGCGACAGTCGTGTGGGACGCATAGTAAGTCCTTGCCTCGTGAGTGAAGAACCAAATAGCCATCAACGACGCGATAGTGGCTCGCCGGCAGGTGATCCGAGGATAGTTGCTTGTAGAGCGTGGCATATTCCGGATCGGACTTGTATGGTCGCATAAAATGTTGATGACGGGCGTCGTCGAAACTGAACGTGTGGTGAGTCGCATCTGATCTTTGCGAGAGAGCATCCGCGGCTCAGTTGGAGAGGCCCGAAATGTGTTTCGGTGTGAAGTCGAACTGATAGATGAAATACATCCATCGAGCAATCATGGTGCTCACTGTGTCTTGCGTCTTGTAATAGGTCAATGAGTTATTATCCGTCGCCCAAGTGAACCTACGACGCCCAAGGAGGACGTGTCACCAACACTTACCGTGACAAATGCAAGCCACTCCCGCACATCGTCAACCGAGTTGATGGGAGGCACCTTTTGGCTAAAGTACTCAGTCGGATGCTAGTCTACTCCGTCGTGCTGTTCCAAAACTGCACCCATGCCGTAGCCGAAAGCGTTCGTAGTCACTCTCGTAGGCAAGGTGGGATTGTAGACACTCACGACGAGGGCGAGGAGCAACGTCGTCTTCAATTTGTGGAACAAACTGCGAACTTCGTCGGTGAATTGGAAGGGCACCTTTGGAGACTGCAATCTTGACAAGGGTGGGGCGATCCGTGCGTATCCTCCAATGAAGCATTCGTAGTACCCGACCAATCACATAAAAGAGCGGACTTCCGTGGTGTTGGTTGGTTCCGACCAATCTTGAATGACCTTGATCTTGTCCGGGATCAGACGGATGCCTTGTGGCGTCACAAAGTGGCCCCAAGTACTCGAGCTCTTGCTGCACGAATTCACACTTGGCTCGGTTGGCCTTGTATTTGGCCGTACGTAGCCTGTCCAAAATAGTTCGTAGATGCACGATGTGCTCGTCCAAAGTCCGACTATATACCAAGATGTCATCGAGGTAGATGTGCACGAACCGGTCCAACATGTTGCAAAACTCCGTTGTCATTGTCGCTTGGAAGGTGGCCGGGGCATTCGTGAGGCCGAACTTGGATGGATCTCGAGCTGGTGATAACCGGCCTTGAGGTCCAACTTGGAGAAATACTTGGCGCCACCCAAGCGTTCGAGAAGATCGTCGATGCGTGGGAGCGGGCCGACATTCTTAATTGCTTGATCATTAAGCTTACGATAGTCAATGCATAAGCGCAGCTCCTTGTTCTTCTTCCGAACGAAGAGAACGGGTGCACCGTAGGGCGAGCAGCTAGGGCGAATCCAACCCTTGTCAATGAGGTCATCACTTTGTGTTCGAAGCACTTTGAGTTCCTCCTAGCTCATGCGGTAAATACATCCGCGCGGAGGTACGGCCTCGTCTTCGAGGATGATCTCGTGACGAATTGGCCGATTTGGTACGATTCCGGTGGGGGCTTCAAAGACGTCGCCATAGGTGTCAAGAAGCTGTACAATGCGTGGATCCGGTGGCTGTTCCGCCGCTGGCTCGTCGGGAGGAGGGAGGGCGTGCAAGAAACAAATGCCCATTTCCTCCACGTCGTTCTGTGCGATGGAGTTGCGAATGCTTGTCGCGGAGACCACGTGACAACCAATCGAAGGGTGAGGTAGGGGGACCGTACATGGCACAAGTACCCCGTTCCGATCACGAACATGAACGGTGCGGTGGCAGACCGGGTGGTCCTCGTTGCGCAGCCACAACATGCCCAAAATTATGTCGAACTGTGTCCAATATGTCAAAGGACACGGCCTCACGTGCATGCGGGGCGAAGTACACGGGGACGGAGTCAACGCACCGGTCAATGGACTTGTGCGTACGACCGTTGGCCGACGTGACTTGCGTGGGCTGCGATTTCCTTCGAACGCGTGGCCCAAAGCTGGCGCGCGACATGAAGTCCTGGCTGATGTAGTTGCGAGTAGCTCCACAATCAATCAAGGCGCTGCAAGTCGCCTTCCCGATCTGAATGCGGACGTAGAGTAACGGTGCGTCGATGTTATCGTACCGTTGTGTGGCGTATTCACGGTCAATCTCCGCAATGTACTCGCGAAGGTCAACAACCGCTACTCCGTCTTCCATCAACGAAGCTGGTACTGTAGCGTGCAAGTAGTTGCGTAGTTCCGCCATTAGGGCGTTGCAATGCGGCTTCGACAAGGAACCAGATGGGGGAAGAGGCAACCATTGGAAGTCCTCCGGTGTCAATGGGTCGAGGTCCTCAAGTGTAGACCACACCGACGAGTCCCCGAGTAATGTCGGCGAGGATTCTGGTTCACTTGGCGATGGTGCTGAAGTCGCGCACGCATACGACTCTTGCACGTGGAGAGGTTGGTCCAACAGCGGAACCAGCTGGACAGCATAGTCTTCATAACCTTCGTGAAGACTAGCGACATACGCATGTTCCCCGGACGTGGAGGAGGTTGTTAGCAAAGCAACCTTGTCCAACGGAGTAGGAAGTGGACTCGCCTCACTTCCCACGGAGCTCATTTTCCCGAGCTTTGCAGTGGACGGACGTCTTCTTTGCCTTTGTCAGGGCATTGCGACGTCGTGTGTTTGGTGCTGTTGCACCAGTGTCAACAGTTCCACCTCTGGCGGAGCTTGTATTGCTCCTCTGTGAGGCTGAACTTCTTTCATGGCTCGTTCCACTGTCCCACTTCTGTGGCTGACGCAAATTTCGCTTTTTTCTTCTTGTTGTTGCGTCGTGGCGGAAGGACGTTGACTCCGTCTCCTTCA